CGGTTGCTACAATCGGATTAGCTTTAGACTCGGACTTTCGCAGCACTGGTGCCTGTCCCTCTCGGAGGGAGGAGGGGAGGGGGAGCGAAAGGCCCCTCCCCACTCCCCCGTTGGATCTGCCTATGCTACTAAAAAAGGCAGAAAGTGTGCCACCATGAAAAAGCCCCCTCTCTTACCAGACTCTTTTGACTCCATCGTGGTGTGCCTTCGCTGCGGCTTTGCTGCCTTCCTCCCACAACCGTTCACCTCGCAAATTAACCTGCAAAATTAACAAAATGCACATTTGTTTTGGCGCATTTATATTTAAATCCTGAAAAAAATCGCTATTAATTTAAATATTACGATTACAGCCTCGTTTACAATCATAATCATGATAATCAAGGTCATAATCAACATTCATAATCATTATCAACAACCTGATTTTCCCGGGGTCGCGGCAAAAATCCCCGCCCTGTTTGTCACACATTCGTTCATTTAACCCTCCGTAAAGATATGCAAACAAAGAAACAACGCCCTGAGATCCCCCAGAAACCCCAGGTCCCCTGGTCCCCCATCCGTCCCCTCCTGCTTTTCCCACTCGGTCCCTTACACTGTCATTCTTCAAGTGGTTTTCTACAACGTGCGTGAAAATAGCGTTGGGATTAAGAGACGATTGCAAGCAAACGTTTGCGAAAATAGTGTTCAATTCTGAGAGGCTACAGAGAGGAAAACGATTGGCACTGGAAAAATAGCACGTTGTCATAGGAGAGCAGCAAAGAGCGAAACAATTTACATCTATTTTTTACTGCACAGGTAGTGACCAGTAGGGGGTGGACACTGTATGCTACTGGTTTGGGCGTGGTGGCGTTGCGCTGATGGGTTGGTGGGCTGTGCAGTGGCCTCCCGATGACCCTGTCGCGCGACCTTAAAAGTTTGTGGGTTGGACTAGTCTAACGCGCCAGCGGTTCCGATGCTTTTATACCCAGTGATCACAGATCACAAAGACTGGAACCGGGGACCAGGCGTGTTGGATCGCTGTAACGCAGTGGCTCCTTACAATGTTTTTAACAAAAAACACTAAATTATTATGTGATAATCGAACTTCTGCTGTTTTCGCACGGTTCAGCTGTTACTTTTACGTGAATTCGGCCTTCTGAGGAAATTTACCCATTTTTTGCTTGGCCTGTTGCATAATTTAA